GGTATGGCAACCTGAACTGATGTACGTACGTACGAAGTTCTACGTTGTTGCTAACTGACTGACTGACTGATAATCAATTAGGACTCCCCGATGGTTTCAGACAAACATTATACAAATATGATTCAAGCACTGAAGACTGCATGCAAACGGATTCTATGATGATCAACTGTTTCCAATAAACAACGGATTATAATAGCGACTAAACACTGATGTATATATATATATGTATATAAAGAGGAATTCTTAACAAACCTGAGTTTCTTCCAGTTCTAGATCACGACCTTGTTCAAGTGATTTCTTCGATTGCTGTTGTTCGTAATCTCGTTGTATATCTGATATTTTCTCATATTCTGCTTCTAACTGATCAATTTCTTGTAGATGTGTACTATGTAGCTGTCTAGCATTCTCCAAAGATTTTCTACAATTCAAAAAGAAAATTAAGATTAGGATGACCGTAGCTGCTACCCTGACGTAGTAGTGGTCGGGCTTGCCTATCTTCATGACCCAACCGAGCTATATTGGCTGGAACATATGTTCCTCAAGGTTCTACAATGCCAGGCAGGTCGATTGCAGAACGATGAGATTAAAATCAGCTACTCAAGGTCTGAGGGCGAAGTCGTACTGCTGACTGCAGAGGAGTGTGACAGCAGTAAGGTGTTTCCCTCGGACAACCAGCATCTGCAGCGATGCTGCCTTCTCACAAGGAAGGAAGGGTTAGAAAAGGTCGACCCTAAAAATGTCACACCTCACCCTACCTCACGGATTTCCGTCTCCGGCGGTAAGGGTGCCCACTAAGGGCTTTCAAGAGCGGAGCTAATCCTCAAAATACCTTTAATAAAAAGGCCGTGCGTGAGCGGCTTCAAGTAGCTGTCCGTTGGGCTCTGCGGTCACGCACCAACACTAATCTATCTTCCTTTTCAGGTCCCTCAAGAAACAACCTTCCACGGTGTGGGCAGCCGGGAAGCGACAACCACCCTCATACCCGTAACAGCACGCGAGACCAAATTAGGATGAAATCAATACACAAAAAAATTTCATCTTACTTAGACTCCTTATGCTTTTCGCTAACATGTCGCAACAATTGGGAAACTTTGATAAATTCCGGTTTTCTCTTTCCAATTTTCTGCTCCTAAAGGCGGAAAACAGCAATAAACGCACATGGAGAATAACCACAACATACACATTTTTTGATTTCTTGTTCTAAAGATGACTGATCCCGATTGATTTTGCCTAATTCACGACGTTTTTCTTTCATTTCTTCTTCAATCAACTGACGTTGTTCATGTTCAGCAGCAACTGCCTCTTCTCTTTGTTTAAGCTCTTCACGAACATGTCTAATTTCCAAATCATTGTAGTAAAGTTTGAATAGATGAAGTTCCAGTCGTTTCTTTGTCTAGTGATAACAAGAAAAAAAAAACTCAGTTAAACTATCCTAGCGGTGAACTATGGTGTTATTCATAGCGGTAGTCAAACAAATTTCGTTTTCGTAAACCATGAGTTCAATCAGTCTCATTAGCTGAAAAGAATTGAAGCTTAAATGCTAAGTAGATGATGAAACACGCTCAGCAAGGAAGGAAAACGACACTAAAGACAGGAACAGGGGTCTAGAAAGAAAAACCAATTATGACAATAGATATACGAGATGGATACAGTGTGTGATTAGTAATATCATATTTGCGAATGACTTAAAACAAACAGCGTAACTTAAATCTGATTCAACACAACTTGACATTCTAACACAGGTTTAAGTTACTCAAAAGTTAGAAAAAAATAATGAAAGTAAACTAAAAGGAATCGTGACAAATTCACCGATTTCCACAGTAGTAAGGAGACTGAAGCTAATTAACCAAAACTGATCTTCTTCTGAACCAGCTCCCCATATTTCTCATAAAAATTGACTAGCGTCATTTGAAATTAGTGATGAGCTCTGAAAGTTAAAGGAAAGTCTTAATTTCTTAGTGCCAAACTTTAATTAAACTGTATTTGGTCCAGTAGAGTAACTAAAATAACTGCCAGTCATATCAATATACCTAGATCTCTAACTGGAGGCATTAGTGATCCTCTGATACTAAATAAGGTAGCCCTTATATTACACTATTAATTAAGGAACTATACATTTTAGGCAAGAATTAATTTCACATAGGAATACATTAGATCATATCCAATCAACAGAATTTTTAAAACTAACCAATTCACTTTGAAGCTTTTTGTATCTTTCAGCTTCATCAATTTCTATTTTTGCTTCTTTACGTTCAGCAACAATGCCCTTCTTTTTATTCAAATTAAAAGTTGCATTCTCCTCTAACTTTTGCATTTCCATTCTTGACATATCGTATTCTTCTTTTAATTCAGCAGATCTAAAAATAGTCACTAGAAAAATTTATTAGCTTACTTGCTAATTTCTTCAAACATTTGACAACGTTCACGTGCATTTTTCATAGCTATACTTTCTACAGCACCTTGGAAAACGAGAAAATTTTTCACTTTCATAAATATATGTATTTGTTCAAGGGCAGCAGCATATTCATCAACACGAACAGACTTTAAAAAAAGGTTGAGCAAAAATTCAGGAACATACGACACCATTTATTCGATACTCTGATGTATTACCATGAATAACACGACTAAAACGCTTTTCTTCCCCATCAGGCATTTCATAAACTGCAGTTACCGATGCTGATTTTGCAACAGGTTTTCCAACTACTGAACCATGGATTAAATCCTTGAATACAATGAATTGAGTTAGTGAAATACTTACATTAAGTCGACGAACACGTAAATGTCGAGTATTTTCTCCAAGAACAAAGCTTATGGCATCCATTAAATTTGACTTCCCTGAGAAAATGTAATGCGGAGAATAAAAATTGACTAACTACATAGTGTTTAAAGGAAATTATAAATTAGATCTGTGTATACAGAATATATCAAAAGAAAAGCAAAGTTTATTGGTAGATAGTAAAATTGTATCATATCTGCGAAAAGAGAGCTAGTGATTTCCAAGGAACTTTTTCATAAGAAACAAATATTGGTATGATTGATGCTAGATCACAGTAGTATTATATGGAGGGTCGATTGTCAGTTACAGACAAGGTAAAACAAGGGACTAACATCATTACACCCAGAGCCTACTGCAATTCAGCGTTACTTTTTCAATGTTTTCACTTACTAAGACCACTACTTTGAGCACAACGAAAGGACATTTCGAAACTGGGAAGACCGACAAACCAATACATAAGATTACTAATTTTGTTGTCGTTTACGCTCAACCTTAGGGGGCTGGAATAACAACGCACTGAGCTGACTGAATCGATGCACGTCTTAGCTCCAATTATACGCAAGTACTTTTTCTAGCCACACTAACTGCGTTCTGGATGCACAAACCACCATTTCCGATCATTCATCATGTGGGTAGAAAAGGAGTTTATGTCGAATAAATCAGGCGTCGAGAGGGAATATACATTAGCCACAATATCACATGATAGAAATATACGATCACAAGCTAGATCACAAATTATTCTTCAGGAAAAAAATCCACATGGCCTAAACAATAAAAGTAAACCTTATTGCTTTTATGTAAACGCGAGCAACTACGAATATAAACTTGAGTAACAAGGATTTTAGACATATGTCAAATAAAGACACTAGTCATAAAAAATAGCTATATCTAACATTTATAGACACACCAATAAGGCTTGTGGAATTCAGCACTTACCTGATCCATTTGGCCCAATGATGGCAGTGAAAACACTGAAAGGACCAATAACCTGCTTTCCTTTGTAAGATTTGTAGTTTTCTAGCTCAATAAACTTTAAGCGTCCACAGTTCTCGTCCATAATTTAAAACAAGCACATATTTAAAGGGCGACCTTCAGATCAAGCTTACAATCACATTGTGACCTAGATTCAAATCCAAATCAATGTTATGATGTAAATAGTCTGTAAAATCGTGTAACAAACCGTTTTAGGCCCTTTTCGATTCCTTAATTTCTCATGACTCGGTCAAATTATTGCTCAAGCATCTATTCACTTGGACGTTTGTCAGACCTGAAGTTATAGTCAAATTCAATGCCATCAGAGCTGTTTGGATTTGCGAAGTACCTTACTACCACTTTTCATACTTTGGTTTCTGTCAGTTGAATATTTTTCGTTGGTAATTAATCCGTGTATTTACCTCCTTTTCTTGAGAAACGTTTGCTAATTTTTTGGCGGTAGTTAAAGCAACAGCTTTGGTACAATTTTACCGAAGTAATTTATACGTTTTCAAATTAGCTGTTCGACAGTTATCAGTTTTTTCCACATCGCTCGGGTTTGGATGGCCATCTGAAGTCATCAGTACGGCAGACTATTGTGCCTCATCTCAGGTCGTCCTAGATTTAGAGTGTTCTCCAATTGTTGCAGAATGCATCTTTACTAAAAGTGATAAGGTCGCAAGTCGCAAAGCAGGAAGCAGAATGTTTTATGTTAAATTGGACTTTTATGTACTATAGAAGTGTATGGCAGTGGTACATGTGAGGTTGCTTGATGTATTATGAAGTTTAGGAATGGGTTATTGACCATAGAAGGTATATACCCTAATCTATGTCGCCTTTCTGGAAACATTATCCTAAGTCATATATTTGTGCAGTATGTGTGACTGTTACCACATCGTTGGAAATTCCAACACGCCAGACATCAACAGGATAGCGCTTAATAGTTCGGACATGTGTTTTGACGGGAATCCAGAAAGATGCCTGAGCCTGGGAAGAACATCTGCGATTTATTCGTGTCAAAGAAATACTCTTACATGCCCCATGGCGACGAAAAACGTTGAGGCTGACAGTAGCTTATCACCGGCAAACAGTGAGTGACGTCATCCAGAATGCTGTACCTCAGTCACACCACGCACCCGGAAATAGAAGAAGGTGGTTTAGGTGCGGCACTAAACGCGGGCTCCAGGAGAAGAGGAGAGCCTGGCACAAGTGGAAGGTCTCCTTGAAGGATCCTGATTGTAATTCCTACCTAGCACTGAGAATTAGATGCATCAACAGAGTTCGAAGGGATAGGAGACGATTTCAGATAAAGCCAGCTACCAAAATACAGGCAAACCCTAATCATCTGTTTAGGTTCATGACTGAAAGAAAACCTATGAATCATGGTTTTTGTTCCCTCAACTGTCCGAATGAGGAAGACCTCACCAATCCAGAGATGGCTGAGATCTTCAACGCATACTTTACCGAACAGTTAAACCAGGCATCCACATGTCGCCAGCTGACGGCTTAGGGAATATCCGTATCACTTTTGACTTAATACAAAGGAAAATAAATTAATCACGCCCAGGTAAGTCACCAGGATGTAACAACATTCGCCCCATTGTCTTGAAACAATTTGCAGAAGTCCTCTGTTCACCGAAATGTTACCTGTTCAGGCATTCACTGGATTAACACGGAATCCCAGATGAATGAAAACAAGCTACTCCCTCTCAAACCTCAGAGGAGGAAAGGACCTAGAAAGGACCCAGTCTGTTACAGACCAGTTGCATTTCTCCCAATACTATCAGAGGTAATGAAAGGGCTGGTGGACGAGCAAATGAGTGAGTACATAGATAAGAATAAAATACTCCATGAGGACCAACACAGGTTTCGAAAAGGCAGGTTTTACTCACCCAATCTTCTCATAGCATGGGACAGTTGGACATACTGCTCGGACCGAAAAATACCGGTGCACGTACTACTTCTCGACTTTGCAAAAGCCTTTGACATAGTACGCCGCGCACACCTTATCGTAAAGGTTGTGGAAATGAGCTTCACTGACCCGCTCGTATCTTTGTACAGAAACTACCTTGAGAATAGAAAGTTTCGTACCAAAGTAAATAAGGTGCACGCGAACTTGCGAGTATCCACATCAGGAGTTTCACAGGGGACCATCTTAGGTCCACTTCTTTTCCTAATATTTATTAACGACCTTTTAGGCTCAGATAGATCATCGGCATTGATCTACGCAGACGATGCTAGAATCTGGAGGTCCATTAGAAGCGAACGGGATTCGACTAAGCTTCAACTGACCTTACATCTGTTGAGGAATGGGCAGTGAAAAACGGTTTAAAACTTACTCAACCGAAGTGTCGCGTCATGTACATTCTGCCCCACATGACGCGAATGATTCACACCCTCAATGCAAATCCGCTCCCTAATGTTTCCTCAGGGCGCGATCTCGGTTTATTCACCACAGAAAGCCTACACACGAGTCCGAACTATTTAGATGATGCAGCCAAGTCTAATGCGACCCTTCACTTTATGCGAAGACGACTTGATGCTATCACCCCACAATTATTCTCAACGATATTTAAGACATATGCACGCCCACACCTTGAGGTTCACAACGTCGTCGCACCCCCTCTGCTTAAAAGGGACATAAATCTCTTGGATCGAGTGCGGAGACGAGCAACGAAATGTGTGATTGGGTAGAAGGACAAACCTTACGAAGATAGTCTCTAGCACTTGGGATTACTTCGCGTGATTTACAGGAGAATCATAGGCGGTCTGATTATAGCGAACAACGTATTAGGCACACCAAACCATCCCAAAATGAGCATCTAACCGACGCATTACCACCACTCCTCTAGATACAATCCTCGAAATTTCGCATATCAAAGAGCTAATACTCAGGTTCGTGCACACTTTGTCTCATAAGGAGTCGTTGCAACTTATAATGATCTCCCAACCCCCTCAGTAGACAACTCTAAGAAGAGACTTGATAATCACGCACTTAGATACCGATTATCGTCTCCCTCGCGGCAAAGCTGTGCCTGATGCATGTCTTGAGACCTGCAAGTTATTACTATTGCCTTCTCCTCAGATCACTAACTTAATCTATCTCGCCTCTCATCTCTTTTCCCTCCGTTACTTACACTTAGGTCCTCTCTCACAATCTTCATAAAGTAAATTATTCATTTATTTACTGAGTTCTGAAATCCTCTTTTTAGCATTAAAAATTTTTCCCGATTATTCCCCGCATTGCAACTATCTGATTTCCAACCTGGTAATGTGATAGCTACTGGTATCCAGAAACCCTACTGCCCTGAAACAAACGTTTTCATTCAAATCACGGGACATACAAACATACCACTTGAATCAGCTAGTCGAATGACTAGACCCTCATTCATTGAACACTACCTAACATCTAGAACCTTACCGAAATTACAAAAATCCAGCACAAAGAAATCGATTGGTTTATACTAGCTCGTGAAAAAGATATTGGATATTACAAAGGGCCATGAATCGCCCGAGGGCAAACATGGAAAAATTGGGAATATAAGTATGACGGCTATGATCAAATGAAGCACTGCATTCAGACAAGTACTATAGGCCTGATCGGTGGATAATTTAGAGGAGAAGTAAAGATCTTTATCGACAAACTTTCTGCAGTAATTAGTGCAGTTAGATCTACCTAGTAACAGAATTACTGGAGGTTGAAGATGTAATTGGTAAATAATTATTTTCAGGTAGAAGATGAAGTAGTTTCAGTTTCAGTAATAAGGACAGTAAGTCAGTTGACCTATGTTAATCCAGGCAGATTGTTTCCCAGTTTAGTATCTAGCTTCTATTTGAAATTATACACTGATAGTGCTCATAATTCTTGTTCTGGTGAGGCGTTGTAGTCGTTGGTTATTAGATGTGAAAAACTGTACTTTTTCTGTGATATTCAAGCTACTTTTTAAAAAGCAGCTTGCATTCAAAACAAAGTCTTCAGGTTGAGTAGCACATGTGTTTATGTTCCCTCTGATTTCCTGCCGAACCATTACGTCATTGACAAAAGATAGCATCGGTGACTAAGCGATTGACGGGAGTTAACTGACATATAGTCTTAAAAGTAAAAAACTAGGAAAGATACTTGTGGCACCCCACTTAGTACTGGTTTCCAGAAAGAATATTTAAAATCTATTCTTACTAATCGTCTTCAACTGAACGCGGAATGATGCATCTTGGAGGTAAAATATTTTCATACAACATATTCGTTTTTAATAAATATCTTCCGAGAATGCTTCTTAGTAGCGACACCTTTATGCACTTATTACCATCAAGCTTATACTATCACGACATAAGGAGAGATAAGAATGGTGATAGTTTTGAGCCGCAAATGACTTTTTGAAGTTATCTGATGATTGCTTTTTGGTGAGAGCAGCCACCGTACTGCTTCATTGTCGGGAATCGTTATTACATAAAAAATTGCAAACTTGCCTTACAGCAGTTCTGGGTTTCGAACCCATTCTCACAAATCAAAACGAAGCACCGTTTGTCAAAACGAAAAGCCCAATAAATGACTTGTTGGTTTTCGCGGTGAAAATATTAGTAGGGCTGTAAAAAGAAAATGAAATGACTATTTGTGTACGGTCGATGTTTGTTTCAATGTACTTCAAAATAAACAGCACTGTTGTGATTAAATGTTGTTAGTCGCTCAGTCGTTAAATTCATTGTAAACTTAGTTTTACTCATATATATCCACAAGAACGGACGCACCAAGTGAAAGCTTCTGTAAAGCATTAATATAGATAAAAGCATGGTTTTGGAACTGTAGGAAGTGAAACAATTCTTCAGTAAATAGCAGTGGAAAGCAATATAGTAGTAATGTAGCTCAGGCTTATGACTACACAACACTAAAAACGATTCTATTACTCGATATGACTTGCAGCCATAACCGAATGTTCTAAATATACCATCATTGCTTCAGTGAAAACCTTAACACTTATGTCACGGATGATATTGGTGTAGTGGCGCGTGTCGAGGTTGGCTATGAACACCACTACAGACCAATTACGATCCCCCCACTAATCGTAATCCCTCCGTGAATCAAAGACAGAGAAAAAAGTTTAATACGAAAAGGGCGTA